CCTCTTCTTTCCGGCAACCGGCGTTACGTCGTTGTGGATTATGGCTGCCCAGCCCCGGCCCGCCAACAACATTTAACGTGAGTGGACTGGCGTTGTTTACCTGATTATTTTTATCAGCTCGCCCGTTTCCAGCTTTAACATATAAATCCCTGCCGGCCAGTTGCCCACATAAATCGTCTGCTTGCCTGCAATGATAAAACGGTAGTGTTGCCGGCCTTGCATATCATAGATAATGGCCGTGCTGCCTTCCAGGCTGACATTGGTATTGGCAACTACTATGAAGCTATGGGCCGGGTTAGGTGTCACCAGCACCGACTGATTGGGCGTAGCATTGTTGCTGAGTACGATCGTGTTGGAATACTTTGCTTCTCCGTTGCTTTCTACCATCTTCAGCCGGTAATAATTTGTTGCAGGCAATGGGGATACATCTGTCCAGCTATAATTATTGGCCTTGCCAAGTGCTTCCGTTTGGCTGATAGTTGTAAATTGTTTGGCATCCGCACTCCGTTCCAGCTCAAAATGATTGGTCCCGGTTTCTTCTGCTGTTGCCCAGCTGAGCAGGTTACCTTGGGTAACGGCAGCACCTTTAAAGTCAATCAGCTTCACCGGCAGTGGGGATGCTAATCCGCTTAGCGACACCTGGCCTATTGCCGGGTTATTATAGTTGATAACTGTATTGGGCGGCAGGTTGTTAGCCATTGTACCGCTGATATTAGTTGCGCGAAGAAACGTAATGGATACAATATTGGTAAGGGTAAAACTAGGATCCTGCGTCACTTGCAGGCTGGCATCATCTGCCCTGACATCGCCATTTACTTCCAGCACATCGTACTGTGTTTCCGGCGTACTGCCATTCACTTCGATATCAAGGGTGGCCTCCCCAAGATCAAGATCACCGTTGACCGTCAGCTTGCCGGGGCTGTTGCCGGGCGCAATATGCGCCGTACTCCGGTTACTGATAAAACCATTCTGATTGATGGTGCCGGAACCGGAGATTGTACCCGAGTTCTCGATATAAGCATTATTGTCCAGGATACCGTTGACGATAAGGGA